CTCTCCCCTACTCCTACTCTCCCTCTTCCCCTTCCTACCCTCTCTCCTTCTCTTTCTCTCCTTTCCACCCTCCTCTCTTTTCCTTTTTCCCTCCCTCCCTTCTCTCCTTCTTCCCTCCTCTCCTTCCCCTTCCTTCTTCCCTTCCACCTCCCCTACTCCTACTCTCCCTCTTCCCCTTCCTACCCTCTCTCCTTCTCTTTCTCTCCTTTCCACCCTCCTCTCTTTTCCTTTTTCCCTCCCTCCCTTCTCTACTTCCTTCCTTCCTCCTCTCCTTCCCCTTCCTTCTTCCCTTCCACCTCCCCTACTCCTACTCTCGCTCTTCCCCTTCCTACCCTCTCTCCTTCTCTTTCTCTCCTTTCCACCCTCCTCTCTTTTCCTTTTTCCCTCCCTCCCTTCTCTACTTCCTTCCTTCCTCCTCTCCTTCCCTTTCCTTCTTCCCTTGCCTCTCCCCTACTCCACTCTTCCCACTCCTACCCTCTCTCCTTCTTTCTCTCCCTTCCACCCTCCTCTCCTTTCCTTTTTCCCTCCCTCCCTTCTCTACTTCCTTCCTTCCTCCTCTCCTTCCCCTTCCTCTCCTCTCCTTTCCCTTTCCTTTTTCCCTCCCTCCCTTCTCTTCTTCTTTCCTCCTCTCCTTCCCCTTCCTTCCTCCCTTGCCTCCCCCCTACTCCTACTCTCCCTCTTCCCCTTCCTACCCTCTCTCCTTCTTTCTCTCCCTTCCACCCTCCTCTCCTTTCCTTTTTCCCTCCCTCCCTTCTCTACTTCCTTCCTTCCTCCTCTCCTTCCCCTTCCTCTCCTCTCCTTTCCCTTTCCTTTTTCCCTCCCTCCCTTCTCTTCTTCTTTCCTCCTCTCCTTCCCCTTCCTTCCTCCCTTGCCTCCCCCCTACTCCTACTCTCCCTCTTCCCCTTCCTACCCTCTCTCCTTCTTTCTCTCCCTTCCACCCTCCTCTCCTTTCCCTTTCTTTTTTCCCTCCCTCCCTTCTCTACTTCCTTCCTTCCTCCTCTCCTTCCCCTTCCTTCTTCCCTTACCTCTCCCCTACTCCTACTCTCTTCCTCCTCTTCATCTGTTAAGGGTGCAGAAAATATATATATATTCTGGTGAAAGAGGCTGTGAGTTATTCTGGTTAATCTGGTCATTTCCAGGCCAAGAGAAAGCCTGCCAATGGAAACCAGAACAACAGAGCTGGAAGGGGCCTTGGAGGTCTTCTAGCCCAACCCCTCTGCTTGAGCAGGAAGCCCCGTAGGGCTTCAGACCAATGCTTGTGCAATCCCTTTTTAAAAACTAACAAATGATTATCGGGTATTCAGCCATTCCTGCTCCTGTTTGAAGCTGAAGACAAATGGTGTTTTCTTAAGAGAGTGCAGGCAAAAAAGGGTGGAAATTAAGGCAATCTTCATAGAATAGAATAACAAGAGTTGGAAGGGGCCTTGGAGGTCTTCTAGTCCAACCCCCTGCTCGGGCAGTTCTACCATTTCAGACAAATGGGTTATCCGACCTCTTCAACATCAGGGAGAGGGAAGGAACTGCCCTGGACAGGTTCCAGAGTTTGCAAACAAAGCAGGGCAAACTTTTCTCTGGGCACCCATCCAGAAGTGCATGGCAACCTTTAATGCAAAAAAAAAAAAATCTATTTTGCTGGCACTGCCAACCCCAGGGTGGGCAAAGCAGAACTGCCAGGTGGAGATCTACAAAATCTGGCCAGGAGTCTCGGAGAGTCACGAACCAATGAAGCGAACTAATTATCTCCTGCAAACTCCACTCCCCTTTTGCTCCTCTTTTATTCCCTCTGGGAGGGGCCATTCACCGTCCACCTGTGGCCTTCCTCCCAAGTCGACCCCTGTTCTTTAGCTCTTCCCTTCGTCTGGCAACTCTGTGCATGCGCACACTGGGAACAGGCTCCAGCTGTTCTTCTGCCTCACTGATGTCTGACTCTGAAGGCAGCTGAAAACTGTCAGACGGCTCTGGCCCCCTCTCTGCCTCCAACACGGAGCCCTCCCCAGACTCCAGGACTGTCCCAGGTTCCTCCCCAGTCTCCTCATTGTCCGAATCTGTTGGACTCTGCAGAGGAGAAAAATCACCTTTACGGTGTCCAAATTTTATACCAACGTCAAGGTTATTGCAATGATGACTGTAAATATTGGCCTGAGCTAAGTTCAACTTCACGGCTGTTTTGCCTCGTTGATAATTAAAATTTTAGCTTAACGGATTCGTTGCCCGGCTTTGTTGAGAAGGAGGGAGGGATTGTTTTATAAACAGAGTTTTTATTCTTTCCTTGTTTGAGGACAAAAAGGAGGGTGTTTTTTTTAAAGGAACGGAGGCAGGATGGAGAGTATCTATTAAAACGATCAGAAGCTGCACGGAAGGTTGATTTTTTTATCCTCTGTAAATAATTACAGGCAGTCGTCAACTTATTTCCAATTCCAAAATTTCCATTGCTAAGCGAGACATCCCTGAAGCGAATTTTGCCCCGTTTTACGACCTTTCCTGCCACCGCTGTTAAGCAAATCATTGCTGTTGCTAAATTAGTAACATGGGCCCGGATTCCCCAGTGGTTTTGGGCCCCAGGAGGTCGCGAAAGGGGATCCCCGAGACATTTCAACCGTCATAAGTACATGCCAGTTGCCAAGAGTCCGAACTCTGATCACGTGAATAGCGGGTTACTGCAATGGGTCGTAAGTGTGAGAAATGGCCATACCTCACTTTTTTTCAGTGCCGTGGCAACTCTGAATGGTTACTGAATGGGTGGTTTGTAAGTCGAAGGTTATCTGTAGCTGCTTTTTGGAATTCTGTGAAGTTCTCATTGAGGAGATGCAAGCTGGAAAAACGAGGAAGAGATTCTAACTTTCCGATAACATTTCCATCCTAATTAGATGAAAATAGCAAAATTGTGGTCTTGTATTAGTGTGCTTCTTAGACACAGCTGAGGTTGCGGTTAATCCGTGTTTCTCAAAGTTGGAAACTTTAAGACGGGGTGGACAAACCCCCCCAGAATTCCCCAGCCAGCACACAGATCCACTGATTGGGTAGGTGGTTCCTTGATTTCGTGACCTGACAAAAGCGCGCACGACAACAGCGCGCCGACAAAACCGCGACGTCGATAGCGCGCCCACAAAGGCGCGCCGACAAAAGAGCGCCAAAAGAAGCGCCACTACGGTTAAGGTAAGGGTTAAGGTAAGGGTAAGGGTTAGGTTTAGGGTTAGGTTCAGGGTTAGGTTAGGGTTAGGTTTAGGGTTACCTTTAGGGTTACGTTTAGGGTTAGGTTAAGAGCGCTTTTCTGTCAGCGCGCTGTTGTCGGTGCGCTTCTGTCCTCATTCTTCGGCGCGATTTCAAACTCGCGCTTTTGTCCCCGCGGTTTTGTCGGCGCGCTTTTGTCGAGCGCGCATTTGTCGGTGAACCCCTTGATTTGGCTACTATTTCCTGTTTGATTGTTTGTCTGGTGTTAATCCCTGCTTATCTAGGCATAGGCTGCAAGAGAGAATGTGTATGTATACTGAAGGGAGAAAAGCAGGAGTGGGGTCCTATACCAGTCGGTACTGGTTCGCTGTGTGCGAGCTTTGCACAGAAACATGCCGGCAAAGGCATAAGAGATCGGGGAACCAGTTTGGGGGCATGGCGAGTCTGGGTCGCTGCTGGTTCTGCGACCCACGCCGTAATTCCGCTACCGGTTCGGCTGAACTGTGCCGAACCATCAGCAACCCAACTCTGGAGTAAAGAGAGCTGTTTTATCTTACATCACTGTTTCTCAGACTTCTTAACTTAAAGTAGGGCTTCAAATCCCAGAATTCCCAAGCCAGCCTGTGAAGGACTTCAACTCCCAGAATTCCCCCGTTAACGAAAATTGCTGAGCTTGACAAACACCGCTTTNAGACTCCAGGACTGGCCCAGGTTCCTCCCCAGCCCTCCTCACTGTCTGAATCTGCTGCCAGCTTTGCTGGCCGCTGGTGGGCCACAACAGATGCCATCAACAAAAGGGCAGATGTGTGTGTTGTGTTTTGTGCATACATTTGTGCCCAAGTGATTGATGTGAAATCTGTGCAGAGGAGCCACTGAAATCTTCCAAGTCAAGTTGGACTCACAATGGCTTCTCATTCAAATATTAACCAGGTCTGATCCTGATCAACCAAGGGATGTCCTGTACAGATGTCCCTGATTTAGCAATAGTTAGTTTAGTGACTGTTCAAAGCTACCACAGCACTGAAAAAGGTGTCTTATGACCGTTTTCCACACTTACGACCATTGCAGCATCCCCGTGATTCAAATCCAGACCCTTGGCAACCGGTTCAGATTTACGACCTTTGCGGTTTCCCAGCATCACATGATAAAAATTTTGGAGACCTGACGAGCAAGATTCAGTTAACAACCGGGCTATTCACTTAACGAACCGCAATGATTCACTTAACAACGCGGGCAGGAGAAGTCGTAAAAAGGGGGCAAAACTAGGCTTCTGATCTTAACTTCAGCTTCCCTTTTGCTTTACTGGACCGCGCCCGGTCGCTAAACAAGGCTGTTGCTGAACGAGGACCTCATGTAAGGGTGTTTTGTCTTGTTGTACAGAATCCCGTGGTCGCCGATAACTCGCTGAGTGCTAGCCACATGGAGAGGACCATGAAACTGCTCAAAACGAGGTTGGAGTCGCGCCTGGCCCTTCACAAGCAATTTGCTTCCCTTGGTGAGTCCTTGGCACCGTCCTGTTCTCTTAGCAAAGGGGGGGGGAGTTGTATGCTCCCCATATAGGACATTTGCTGAGGAATTCTGGGAGTTGAAGTCCCCAAGTCTTTACATTACTCTTGGTGTAGAAAAGCAGGATGGTCCTCGGGGACCAAAGAAGGAAGCTTCTATTTGGTCCTTTTGCAAGAATTGTCTTCTAGGAGGGGCCCCTTATCTCCTTATCTTGTTGCCTCCAGAACATGGCATTCTGCCCGTCTCCCCTGAGTCTCAGCATCTCTTCCCCGCCAAGATTATGTCGCATTTGGTGAAGTGGATGTCCCTCACGTACGAAGATTACATGGTAAGTAGCTTCCTTTAGAAGTAGCCTTTTCTTCCGCGGGAAAAATAGACAAGTGCAAATCGCCCTCGACTTGACGACCACAACGGAACCCCGAAATTTATGCTAAGCGAGACATTGGCGAAGGGAGCCCCTCCTCAGAGCCTTCCCCAGCCTCCAGGACTGGCCCAGGTTCCTTCCCAACCCTCCTCACTGCCTGAATCTGCTGCCAGCTCCGCAGGCCACCAGCAAACTAGAACATTCTGCTTTTTCCTCCCTCTAGGAGCTGCCTTACACTAAAGACGTGGTTGAGTCTGGTTTGGCTGAAGATACTCACCTCTACTACTTGGCACTGATCGAGAGAGGCACAGGTGAGTTTGCGTCTTTTCTCCTGTGGGTTTCTCTCCCCCCCCAACTGAGAGGTTGAGGAGATGCCTAGTGGTTGTTACTTCGGGGAAGAGAAAAACAGAACATTTCTTCCCCGGTGCAGCAAAGGGAGATATGCCACAAAACATGTCTGCTAAAGGGGGAGTGGGTTGCAGTGGTTGGGTCCTCTGGAGACCCCGATCTTCAGCAATCGAACTTGGGGTCCCCAGTTCGATCCTTATGAAACCGAAACTGGATTCTGTAATGGGCTGTGAGAAGCAACTTGGGAGGAAGAAGGGAAAAACGCGGGAGAGACAACAGAGGAGCAAAAAACGAAGCCGGCAGCAGAGTCAAACAGTGAGGAGGATTGGGGAGGAACATGGGCCAGTCCTGGAGTCTGGGGAAGGCTCGGACGAGGGCTCTGCATCGGAGGCAGAGAGGGGGCCAGGGTCGTCTGGGAGTTAATGTGCTGCCTCTGGAGTCTGACATCAGCAAGGCAGAGGAACAGGGGGAGCCTGTTCCCAGTGTGTGCATGCACAGAGCTGCCAGAAGGCAAGAACTGTTAAGACAAAAGGAACGACTCGGGAGTAAGGCTTGGAGATGACTGGCCCCTCCCATAAGGCATAAAAGAGGAGCAAATGGATGTGAGCCTTTGCAGGAAGCAACTTGGTTCTTTGTGGTCAGTTTAAACTCTGAAACTCCGTTTTGACTCTGTGCTCCACGTGGCCTTGCAAAACCAATTGGCAATTCGGTCTCTGGCAGCGTTTCAAGGGAGATAAAGGCGAGTGCTTATCAGTCTTATCCCAAAAGACTTTGACAGACTTCTGTCGGACTCTTTACAAAATATTTGTGACTCATTACGGGCTGTGAATGAACACAACTCACAGCCGCTGAAATAAAAATAGGGTTTGGGGGACTAAGCGTGTGGTTTTTACTGTCTCAGGAAGCCTGGGTTAGAATACCACCTGTACTTCATTTAGACACCCCACAGCCCATTTTCCAGCTGTCTTAAGACTGGGGGCTCCCCCCTGCATTGAAAAGTGCCGGAAATTCACCAGCGCCTTCTGCTAAAATACAATCATCACTCCCTTCTACATCTGCAGGGGACCCCCTGACAAGGGAAATTCTGCAGAAGGAATTAATCGATGCGTTAAAAAATCATGCTGTTACGATAGAAACAAAACTTAAGGAAGAGATTTAGGGCATCTTTTCGGAAACTTGACAGACAGATTAGGCCATTTCTCACAAACAGATGTCTGAAAAACTTATGACATGTAACCAAATGATTAGAAGGGACTTGGTGATGACTCTGAATTCAATAGTTGCTTATGCACAGGCCCTTGAAGAAAAGTTAGAAGAACTTAGTGACGCTAATACGAACTTGGCAACGGTCCAGCAAAAGGTTAGCGATGCAGACAATGAAATCATAATGCTACAGTATAGGCAAATGGAATTGGCTTTAAGGATAAGGGGCCTCCCTGAAAATACACAAGAGAACCTGAAAAAGACTCTCTGAAGCCTTCGATCTGATGGCGGGAAGGTCAGGAGGGAATCTTGACTGGCAAATCGAAAAGGTTTATCGCGTTAATTCCTCGCTGGCAAAACAAAAACATTTACCAAGAGATATAGTGGTCTATTTCGCCACTAGAGATGTGAGAAATGCGATATTACAGGAATCCTACAAAAATAAGCT